ATATATATGTATCGTTTTATCGCAGTAAGGGTAACCCTCTCTCTCTCTCTCTCACTTGCGCGCCGACAGCTGTACGACAAGATCCGTCGGTCGGAGCAGAAATACAAGGTGGCGCTGGAGGTGCTGACCTATCACAATCAGTGCACCGAGGCCGAGTTCGAGGATCTAAAGGAAGAACCAATACCTGATATGATCGAAAGTATTCCCAGGTAAGAATGCGCTGCTCACTTGTTTCGCGTGACGTCGGGCGATAGCACTACCCCCGGCATACTTGTCCCGGCATATTTTGTACCTGACACACTGGAAATGGAGCCCCTCCCCCTTACGCGCTATCTTTACCTTTATCCAATCGCTATACACTGTTGATGCGATACTCTGTTGATGTCCACCCACAGATTCGAATTTACGGACTACCTGGAAAACGATAATGACAAGAAACCAATGATGTCTCTCTACATGTTTAAAGACCTATTCGGATTATCGAGGTAAGAAGTGATTCAGTCGACCTAGTAGACCTAGTAGACCTAGTAGACCTATTAGACCTTATAGACCTAGTAGACCTAGTAGACCTAGTAGACCTATTAGACCTTATAGACCTAGTAGACATAGTAGACCTAGTAGACCTAGTAGACATAGTAGACCTAGTAGACCTAATAGACCTAGTAGACCTAGTAGACCTAGTAGACATAGTAGACCTAGTAGACGTGGTCTTGTCGACACTGGGTAGCTAGATAGTCCTGTTGTCGTGTAGAAATAATGGTGTGCAGCGGTGGCGCCATCTGTGTAGGCTGCGAAAACAGGACGACTGGTAACTGTGTCGCCGTCTGGTCACCGTTGTTTCTGTTTTGATTTTACGAAGTACAACTGGCGTGTGTGTGTGTGTGTGTGTGTGTGTGTGTGTGCGTGCGTGCGTACGTGCGTGCGTGCGTGCGTGCGTGCGTGCGTGCGTGCGTGGAAGTGTGCGAGTGTTAGTTTTTACGTCAAGGCTAAAGCCACTGTAGGCTACCTTCTCACCGTATGGCGAATTTCTCGTCCTATTTTTTTTAGATTCTTAGTTTTCCATTTCTCGCAGCTACGGATAT